TCACCAAGGTATTCACTCCAAAATCCATCACAAATATCTCCGTAAGGATTGTCCAAAACAAGTGACATATCGTTGGGATTCAAGTCTTTCACTTTTGGCACTGAATTCGCGTCCGAAATGTCTATTAGTTTCGGCCAAACATTGTGTGGTTTTCTATTGATTTAATTTATCTAAATAAACATTTCAATCAAAAATAATCGAGCACAACTTACATATTTTTTGCAAAATTAGTCCATATCTTCATGATATCTAAACTGAAATCATAATCCGTTTCCGTAAACATTTGAGGAGTCCTAACGGGATCACCAAAAACATAGGGGAGTTCTGCGCCGTGACATATGGTATGTTCATCGCAACCAAGCATTGCAAACAAATTTGTCTGATAATTAAATCTATAAAAATAGACGTCTCGACCACTTTTGACAAATCTTTTGGCAAACCCATAGGTGGGGCACACTATCAACATATCACCATAAAGTTGATCGAAAGCTTGCTGTAAGTCATTAGGATTTTCGGGGTCTCTATTCTGGAGGTAATAATCGGATATTTTCTGGACGTCTATGTTATGGTAGATCTCTCTCTGGAGTTCTATTAATTCGTGAAANCTTGCTGTAAGTCATTAGGATTTTCGGGGTCTCTATTCTGGAGGTAATAATCGGATATTTTCTGGACGTCTATGTTATGGTAGATCTCTCTCTGGAGTTCTATTAATTCGTGAAATTTGTTTTTATTTAACTCAGACCTCATTTGTGGGAAAAAACTGACGGCTAGCACATGACCCTCGTCTTTGGTCGCACCGGCCATCACATCCACATCTGATCCATAAATTTTTATATCAATTAAAACTTTTATAATTTTAAACCATTTTGTATTCACCAGAATTATATTTATTAGTTTCAAAAGCCTTTTGTGGTAAAACTGGTAGGAATTCAGTGCCAAACACAGGCCACGTGATATCAAAACCAGCCTCAGTCGGCTCAAGAAATAGGTCCGGGTTTTCAATGGCTCGCAAACAGCCCAACCATTTGTAATCATACGGATCACAACCCAATTTACGGGCCGTTTCCTTGGCTTTACTCAACGCCTCTACAGTTCCCAAAACTGGTCTATCCTTATGAAACATTTCAGCCGCGCTCTGGACAATAGCCCTCTTAAATAGACGCTTAGATAGGGGTGAGAGTATGTGTGCCGATGTGGACCAACTGCCGGCGCTCTCACCAAATATAGTGATCTGATCCTTGTCTCCACCGAATTCATGAATATTTTCTCGAACCTATTAATAACATTAATTAATTAACAATTATATTTAATAAGTTATAGTTTGTAAAAAAGTTATGTTCTTTTGTCAAACATTTTAATAGTAATTAATAACTAAAATATATACCCATTTCAGTCCTAACAGTTGGTCATAAAATCCCAGATTACCGGGTGCTGTCTGATCGCCACCATATAAAAAGCCTAACTGTCCGACCCTATAGTTAACGGAAACAATGACCACATCATTGGTGGCCAAAACACTCCCGTTATAAAACTTTTGAAATACTGATCCAACAGTAAGTGCCCCGCCGTATATGGGTCAGAATTGTTAAATAAAACACTTTATTCAATATAAATATAAAATTAATTTTATGTTTATAATTACAAATAATTTATTCATGATTTTGTCACATATAAAAAGCCTAACTGTCCGACCCTATAGTTAACGGAAACAATGACCACATCATTGGTGGCCAAAACACTCCCGTTATAAAACTTTTGAAATACTGATCCAACAGTAAGTGCCCCGCCGTATATCCAATACATAACAGGTTTTAACTGTGATTTTGATGCACTTTTGTCCACATTAGGTGTCCATATGTTTAACACCAAACAGTCCTCACTTGTGGTCAGTTTACCCATCAATTGTATAAACAATGGACTTTGTATTTGTATGCATGAGTTACCCTCCACTGTGCCATCAATTATATCCTGTTTATTGACGTTACAAATAAATAATTTTATTATATTTTATTAAAATAATTTTTTAAATACCTTTTTAGGTGTTTTGAGTGGTTGTGGTGGACTGAACCTTCGTGGGCCCACCGGGGGCTCAGCATAAGGTATATTCAAGAATTGATTGATGAAGTGATTCACAACATTCAGTGTCTGTCCCCTCACTCCACCCGAACTCGTATTCACGACAACACTATTACTCTCATCGCAAACAAACCTTTCAATTAAACACACCATTAATACAAAACACCATTTATTTGCAAAATTCATTTTAAACATGTGATCTATTTTTACACATTTAAATTCATAAAACATACAAATAAGAAAAAAATTTTAAAATGAAATAGGAACATTAATAAAGTTTTCTTAAATACTATTGTAATAGAGTAAACTGTCCTTGACGCACTTACAATTTAATTATCTGTTTGTACTATAAGTTATAACGTTTTGTTTCAATGTCATTCCTATAAACAGCACTTTATTTATATTAACAATCTTCTACACATTTATATACTAATAATCAGGGCTCTACGATAGCCGTCGTAATCTTTACTGCATCACACGATCATCACATTAGTCTTAATTTTGTGATTTTACATTGTTGGACATGTAAATTCAAAAAACATAATTTTAATAAAATTTTAAATA